AAACTGGAGGAAGTGAGAGAGGCAGTCAGCGGACTTACTTAAATATTGACTGGAATGGCCAGCTTGGTAACATTACAAAAATAAAAACATTTAAAAAGTTACTTTAAAGAGAATTCTGAGGACCCAGTTCAGCAGAAAGCCCGTGTTTCCACTTACCTTTAGGCGAGAAGGTGGCAGGGGCTCAGCGGAGTTGAAGGCCACCTGGGCCAGGAGGTGCCCATTAGAGCTGCCCAAAAGGCTGCAGCTGTGTTCAACTACCACCACTATGGCTTAGGCAAACCACCTTCCTTCCATCTCCCTCCCCTAGTATCTAGGCACAGCACAATATTCACGTCATAACATTTGCTTGCTATCTTTGTTTTCTTTTCAAAGTTCTGAATTTTGTGGCAAACCCAATGACATTTATTGAACAAAAATGGCAGCTCTTGAATCCCAGTGAATGTTCTCTTCATTGCAGCTGTTCAACACTTAACACTTCATACGGATTTGACCGTGTTTTGGCACTAATTACTCAATATGTTTGCTCTTTCTTACGTTGCTGCTTTTGGCTGGGGATGCTTTTTTATTAGTCGCAGATCTACAAGATCTTGCTTTTTTATTTTTATTTTTATTTTATTTTTTGTAGCATGCCCACAAGCTACAAGCTTGTTACAAGCAACATGTGTAAGCTTTTTGGGAGCACATCTTTCTGTCAGGTGTAGCAGATGAGAAGAAATCAACTCACTAAGAAAATATTAACCATCTTTCTCTGAAAAAAAAAAGGCATCCGCGATCAATTCTGTAGCCTTTTCTTTAATCATCTGTTGTAGTCTAGTTAAAGCCCAATTGGGAAAAAAAAAGTTTTGGTTATTTCAATTATATGAAAAATATTTATTTTTATATGAATAAGGGTCCCAGACTTTTCTATTATGCAACATGAAACAGAAAGCAGTTTTACCATTTAAATTTAATTTTGTACTGGGACTGAGAAAAGAAACTTTTTTTTTGCCCTTTTAGCAAAAGGATTTTATTTAAACCTGTCAAAATTTTAAATTGGACACTCAAGAGGCGTCCAATTTGTCCAGTTCAAAATCTAGCTAAAATCTTACATTTTTGATCATTAAATTCTTATAGAATAAAATGAAATTATCTAGAAGTACAATGCCTTGTGCAATAGATAGTGAAATATATTCTTTTCGCACAATGACAGCTTATGGAAAATGTTTTGTTTCTCCAAAGCCATTACTTTATTGATCTAAAAAATCCTAATTTTAGCAACATACCTTCTCTTCATCGATTACTATGATAAGAAACAGAAAACTTCTCATGCCTCTTGCAACAAAAAAGATGTAACCTCCTGATCTGACCTGACCTATGCTTTCTACCTAACATTTCTGTCTGGCGACAGCTGTGCTACATGATTTTATCACTTTTTTTTTTCTTTCTGAGGCGACATTTTTAGGAGCTAACTGAGGCAGTTCTCCATATTTTCATTGCAGAGAAGCAAGGAGAAGCAGAGATGGCTTGGAAATTAGTTTCCAGACACAAGTGACTCTTGCAAGATCTCTCTCTGCCAACTGAGAGCAGGAGAGATGAGCCCTCCTCAATACTCCTCTGGGCCTACCTGCACTTGCTTCAGGCTGGTCCTCACCTTCTTTCCTTCCGAGTCTGCCTTAACTCACCCATCGATTGCATGATGCCTTCAACTGGCATGCGTTGCACCCACTTCTGGAAGTGAAAGAGTACACAGCAGTAGGGTTTTGTAAAACCTTCACATTTTTCTAGGTTTATGTCTGTCCCCATTCTACCTGGGAGTACTGGATTTCTCCCCTCGGGAAGGAGAAGACACTTTGATTAGGTAATGTAAATCCAGAGTTTCACACTGAAAATAAATAAATAAAAATAGAAAGACTTATAATTGAAAATGGCTTTCATCCTGAAAGCTTTATTTTTTCACACTTGCAAGGCTTCAGAAAAATTTGTGGGGAGATTTAAAGCTTGTTTACTAGAGAAAGGCTTTTTTCCTTTCTCTCTTTGCTTTGTGCTGTTGGAGTATCCTAAAAAATAAAAAAAATACTCTGCTGACATGTAGTATGTTTGCTTAACAGAGCTAAGAGCAGTTCCTGTTGCTAAAGACTATGTTCTTAGAGCCCGCGTTATCAGATACCCTGCTTTAGTAATTGATTTCTGATTATCCCACCAACATTTTAATTAAAGAGAGAAAAAAAAAGCGCGCTTTCATATTCCATTTGGACTTAAAATCCTAACTACAGCATAGTAACCCTTTCACTCAAAGCTCACTGCTATTATTAAAAAACACTTACCAGTTCCTTACTACAAAGTGAGACCCCCATGAGCCTGCTCTGCACTCTCAGCTTCCAGGGCCGACACAACAGGAACCCCAAAACCCTCAACCCATCGACTCCTGACAAATCCATGTGCTTTAACACTTACCTGAAGTGTGGACCCAAAGTTATTCACTCTCACTGGATCAAAGTGAAGCTGCTTAACTTACTTTTCCTTAAGCAAAGCATTTCTCTATCAGGAGATGTGTTTTTTTTTTTTTTTTTTCTGACTGCCGATGAATTAACAAATTACCTAGGAATAATTTGCCAGACAGGTCTACAGGGCTCAGAAATGAACTCCAGAACTAAGCAAGAAATGGAAGATACTTTGAAATACCTCCAGTATTACACAGGACTGTTCTCTAACGAGGCCTCTCACACATAGAGACAAACTTTGCATATTGAAAAAATGTTCACAGACAAATTATTAAAAATATAACTTTAAAAATGACTTAGTGGGGCCAGGAGAATTATACTTAATCTAAGGGTATTCTTATGCAGTGCTGCTTTTGTGAGTTACATTATCCGTGAGATCTACTCCAAACAATTAAAGCATTAGTTTAACTCATTTCAAAAATATGAACTTCTCTCCTTACCCCATCCAACCCTCCACTTACATGTTTGGGGATTAAAATATTGAAACACTGCATGCAGAAATATGATGTTTTTGTTCGCTTGTGCTCCAGACCACTGCTGTAAATGATAGCACTGGACTTCAAAAAAGAAAGGCTGCCTAATACCTAAGGTATAGAGATTCTTAAAACTGTGTTTAATGCAATAAATGTATATAAGTCAAGACATTACCAAACTAAACATTTGAAACTCAGTAGAGAAGAAAAAAAAAAACACAACAGGAAATTATACACAGAACGATGGATAATATTGAGAAGGTACAAGGCTTGCAATATATCAGAAAGACTTTGCAAAATTGACAACTGGGAACAAATATTCACACATTGTCAAACCGAAAGGTCTTTTTAAAGCAAAAAAAAAAAGGCTCATCTGTGATTCCAACTTCATCAATTTTATGTTGCTTTACGTTGCAATAGACAGTGAAAAGGTGGGTATGTAACATTTGCCAATAAATTCTTTGAAAGTCACGATCTAAAAAAAGCATATTGAGGTCTAAGACCTTCTATGGAACATCAGTTGAATTGGCATCCTTTCAAACGTACAAACAGAAAGGTTCAAAATAATTGCAATATAAGAAATTAGTTATCAATGTATCCTTAAACAAATTCAGAATGATTTTTCATGAGCTATGCAGCCAACACGTAATTCTTAATGCAGGATGTATACATTTGCCCGCAAAGTATAATAATCTAAATAACCTTTTCAAAAAGTAGTTTTAGACTAGTGCAATATAACTTCCTCAGCAACTGCAACAAATGAGAGGGACCCTGCAGAGAACAGCGGGGGAGATTTTTCTTTGGAGGGTACAGTCCTGTAGTTCTCTCTCGGGCAGAAAATCCCTGTGATGTTTCTGGGAGCGATGACCAAGAGCTGTGCACAGTTAGTCCCTCAGGAATGACTTCTCCGCTCACTACGTGGGCAGCTGGGTGCGGAACTCTACATGCAGAAATATGGGAGTATATCCTTAAGTGGTCACTCGGCAGTGCCCATTAAAGCATCTGAAATGTAAACATTTGCCCTGTATGTTCCATTTAACCTAAAAAATAATGCAGTTTCCATGCAGTAGGGCACAGTTTTATCAGAAGAACTGATTACATTATTAGCTAAGGAAATAAAACTGCCATTTCAGTTTTGCAACTGCATTTTTTCCTCTACGCTATATTTCACATCTGGAACCAGGTAAAGTGCTGCATCATAAGCATGTTAGTATGATCTGGTGATCGGAAAGCAAAAATATCTTCTGCAAGATTTCTATATTAAAATAGCTATGTGCACAAAAGATGTAGCTAGCCTGACACCCAAAGCAATATGGAGATAGTTCGATAGTACTTCCACTGCAGCAGATCTAGGGACTCATTCACTCAACTATGTAGTATAAATTAAGATTACTAGTACATATAAAAAAAATCAGATAGGCAATAAATTACAAACCTGGCAGTATTTTGAGAGAGAGAGAGAGAGAGAGATTTTTTAAGTCTTATAATGGAATGACTAAAAGATCAGGAACTTCTTCTGGGAGCTCCAGTAAGAGATTTGCACTTGGTGTGTTCATTGGCTTATAAGCAGCCCTACTGCAGAGGAATACATTGCACCGGGAGTTAATACAAGGGCCTAGAGTTCAAAAAACCTGCTAAAACTTAAGTGCAGTAGGCTCCACTATATTGTATTTCTGTTGAAATGTATAAAACATAGAAAATTGTAATGGTGAATTATTGGATAAAAATATTAATGTTCACAGATCAAACCTGACTGATTTTTTGAGTCAGATTTAAATTTACATCTTTTGCAGATTTAATCGGCATGATTTGAATACTTAAGGTATCTTTGACCATCAAGTAGCAGTACATATTTACCTTTTTACACTGATTCCCCTTAATGTGTTATGCCATCTCTAACTAGGCTTTCCAACAGCAAAGCCCTACTTGAAACCTTCATCAAATATTTCTTTACAGTCTAAGTATATATTCAATGAGAAATGCCTTTATACAATATTTACAAATTCTCTCCATTAGATACAAAGGCAAAATAAATAAAAAGCGTAAAGAAAGGAAATGCTGCTTAGGCTGTAGGCTTTTGCTTTTATCTTCCCCCAGCAGATGCTAGTCTCTTCAGGACATGAAGCTGGCTAGCCAGGATTGTTTTTCTTCCTCTTGCTCGGGCTGTGACTGGGATCTTGTTTCAGTTCATGATATTGCACCTGTTTAAACACAACGTTCAGAGAGAAACTGGTCAGGTGGCTAAGGAAAAAGAAAGAAAAAGATTTTTATTTTTTTCCCAGAGCCAAAAAAAAAAAAAA